TAGTAGTAGTAGTAATAGTAGTAGAAGTAAAAATACTAGTACTAGTAGTAGTAGTAGTACTAGTAGTAGTAGTAGTAGTAGTAATAGTAACAATAGTAGTAATAGTAGTAAGAGCAATATAATGATAGTACTAGTAATATAAAACAGTAGTATGCTGTAGGGTTTACGGCGGAAAAATCATTTGGGGCTCGGGGTCTGATGGTGATTGCAGCTTTGAAGTCGTGCTCCCTGTAAAATTCGAGTGCCATGATTCCCTGGTATCTTGGGTAACTGCGAAAACTCGGGACCTGGATGAATGCAGCATGGTCGAGGAGTCGAACGCACCAGCCAGAAGCGTTTCAAAAACGTGCCCCAAAACCCGCTCCACAAGAAGTCTTTCGGTTGGGCCTTTCATATGGGGAGATTCCCTTGAGAAGGCCTCGTAAAGCTGCGACAAGGCAGCTTCATCCTTGTAGTGCTCTCGGGCAAAATCCTGAGCATCTCAGAGAAAGACTGGCTTCCAGACAAAATTTCTCCACAAAAGTGAATCCTAACGGAACGAAGCCTACTACACATACATTCTGAGGATGGGTTCTAGGAATAAGCTGTGATCCAGAGAGCCTCTGGCAAATCAAAATGATTTAAGCGCCATGTACTGAGGCTGACGGTGTGTCAAGTATGAACTTGATTCCTGTCAGATTTTCCAGATGCCGCGACTCCGTATTTGTCGTCCGTACTGTTCACTGTTCTTACCATGCATTCTGGCAAGCGATGTCTCGTCGCTAGTCAGACGAGCATTGCCCACATCAGAGCTTCTCAAAACACACTACCTAGTCGTTGAGAAAGACCCATTTAGGGTCTCTCCTGAAGGTCCTCTCGATTGTCAGAGGTCACAGTGTCACTGCTTGGTGTCAAGGTGGGGTGGGGTGGGGAGTGGCAATCCCCCCTCTATGCCTCCACTTTGGATGATTTTCACTCCACAAGCAAGACTATTGAGAAAAATGAAAAATACTCACTATATGATCCCCTACAATAGCCCTACAATACCCTATAATGCTCCTATAGTACCCCTATAGTACCCCTGTAGTACCCCTACAGTAGCCCTACAATATCCCTATAGTACCCCTATGATACCCCGTACTCTAGTTTCGGAACCTCGGCCAGGTGTAGAGCTCGCTGCCCGCGCGACAGTGCCTCCGCGGCCCTGAGGTCATTGTTGGTTGGGATTCCTGTTTGAGATTCAGGGCTTAAATAGGGGTTATATAGGGTCATATAGGGGTTATATATACGGATGATGGACAATAAAAAGGAAACTACTATACTATAATGGGATTATGTAGGGTGGAGGGTTTAGGAGGGGTGACAGGGTTAAGGACTCAGGGCTGAGGAGGTGGATTTTAGGTCTCAGGGGTCAAGGATCAAAGGGCCTGGGGTCTAGGAGCGAGGGAACTGTGCAGGAGACACGGATCACAAGGCTCATCACTGCACTTCTTGGGCGCAATTCTACGTTGATGTTAGTATACTCAGGAACTACCCTCAGGATGAGACTCTTTCTTACTTTCAGGATTGCTGCTCCTTCCGTGTCTATGTTCATCAATTCTTCTCCATGAGCAGGTTTCCGGCAGGCATAGGATCCGTATGACCGAAGTCTAGATCCATTGCAGGTCGTTTGCACTTCAAGTTGGGAAGAGCAGCCACCCTTATCATTATCAAAACGATCATCTGCAATGCCCCCCGATGATACAAACATGCGTTGTCGTCATGCTCTTGACGCTTCGAACGGTGTAATTCTGCTCTTGTGGCCGGCCACTGCGTCTGAGCTCCGCACACTGCCTGAATCTCGGCAGAGTCCCTGCGCAAATATCTCAAGTTTCATGCGGCATACCAGCAGCAAGCCCCAGATGCCATTGCTATCATCTTCTCCTTCCTCATCATATCCCCACTATGATGGCAAGGAAGATCACAAAGAAAATGGCGATGTTGAGATGAACAGTCGTCAAGCAGCAGCACAAACGATGAAAGTGCCAAGTTTTGGCACACGTCACACGCCCATATTTCACACCTTTTCTTCTAATATGCCCAACCCATGATCCCATCCTCGGAAGTAGCTCATCGCTGATTTGCCGAAGCCTGGAACACACAGATGGACAGCGCATAAACTCCACTTGCCATGACTGCTAGGCACACACACCAAAGCACCATCATGAAAAAACGTACCTGGTGTAACAGAGTTGCTTCCATTCACCAAGGTGCTTTAAAGAAGCAAAAGTTGAAAGCTACCATATTAGATACAACAGTGTATCCCCTTCAATGTTGGACAGGAGCTGGCTTTGCAGCCAGGAGGCGAGAGATGCTCCACATCAACTCGCGGCATGCTTAGAATGCTTCGCAGTCTTACATGGTCTCCTGGTCTTGGCAAACAGATCAACTACTGGTCCTTGCTTTCTTGGCTCATACGAGGCACGGGATGTGGATACCGTTGCTCCATGTTGCAGTTGTGTGATTGAAGTCTTGAGAGACGGCAGGGCAACGAACTGTTGCAGCTCCATGCGCCACAAGAACCCCATGCAAAGACAGGCAAGCAACGAGCAACGTCCCCCCTCCGCTCTTTTTGCAAGTGCAGGGCATGGCTGCCGCTGGAAAGTCCAGCCGGCTGGAATGACATCGCATCTGAGCAGGTCATCGATGGCAAGCTGGAACAAGCATTTTCGGATACATCGCAGACGGTAGCAGGGCAAGCGAACTTTTTCAGGACTTGCTCAGCGCTTCAGGCCACTTTCGCATGTCCTTGTCGTGCGATTTCAAACTTCCTCCAGGCCGATAGGCTCATTGAACACCAGGAGATCCTTTCTCAAACCCAAAACCATGGAAGGCACCAGCCAATACGCAAAGTCCCAGTTCTCCTCGTTGGTGGGAACTGGAGGCAGCTCGACGTGTTCGCTCCAACGAGGAATCTCCGGCTCTGCCAGCTCTGCTCTCTCCTCCCAACTGCCTGGGGTTTCTCCGGCTAACGGTTGAGCTGCCGTGGAAGACGCTGCATCTCCCCAGCTGTCTCCCCAAATGGATTCAGGCACTTCTGGCTCAGGCGGATTGTAGCTGTTGGCCTGCACGCCTCGATTCTGCTCAGACAGCTGGAGAAGGATGACACACATGGGCTTCCGTTCCGACAGGAGCCAGTTGACAGTTCCTTGCTTGTTGTCCAAGTAGCTGAGGTGCCTACGGGTGGTCAAGTGCTCTGGTGTGAAGTGCTTGTTGCAGGCAGCACAGAGCACGAAGTTGTTGGCATCCACATACATGTAGGGATCCTGCACGCAGCACTCAAGCGCTCCCAAGCCGCGTGCCAATGACTGCATCTCCTCGGCAGTTCCTGCACGGGGCATAGCCTGGGCTGGCTGCGCACCAACGCTGAGAGAACCGCCAGGTGGATCTGTTACAGAAGGGAAGTTCATGGGCTCATTCCGCGCCCTCCAGGCTTTGTCTGCCAAGTCTTTCATGTGTGTCATCTCCATGAGTCGTCTTAGCGAGTCATTGGTGACTTGACGGCGGTCGGCTGCAGCAATGAGGTGCGCAACTGCAAAGGCAACCCACGCAGCCCGCCGGCGGTGCTTGATATTGGACCCCATGCCAATTGCGGCAATGCCGTCAAGCTCAAGCATTGCGGCAGAGCCCTCACTTTGCCACCCCCGACCCGCTGACCGTACGAGCTGCATCACATGCATGGTCACATCTGTTTCTTCAGACTCCTGTCGAGACCTCGTGGAAACTTGTTCCATGACTGCATCGCAGTTGTTTGCTGCATTCATCAAGAGTGGTGAGTCTGGAATGAGCTTCACGCACACAACCTTCGGGCGATCGGGACGGGGATGTGGCACCCACACCACCTCAAACTCTGGCATCATCATGGCATTAGCCTTGGGGAAGCCCAAGATCCTTTTCTTGACCCATAAGTCTTGCGGTCCATCGTCAGCGTGCTCTGAGCAGCCATGAACTCAACCACTAGCAAACCAAAAAACAAGCCACATCATAACAAAACTGCGAGACACTGAGAGGCTTACGCTGAGACCTAGAAGTCTTGGGCATCCGGACAAGCAACACATCCACATCTGTGCAGGATGGAGCATCAATGTGTTCATCGAGGCATGCTCCTTTTGCCGAAGCTCTTGGCCAACCCTAAGAGGCTCGTGCTGAAGCATTCTGAAGCTTCTCATGATCCTGTTTGCAATTTTGTGTTTTGCTTTTCTTGTTTGCATTCATACTGATGTTTCATGGCCTTGCAGATCCTCTAAAGCCAAGACGCAGAAAAAATGCTCCGGAACTTGGTCTGAAAGAAAGCGGTTGGCAGTAGGAGCAAGCCAGCTTGGGCTTGTTCGGCTTCAAGCCCTTGTTTTTGCAGCGCTGCGCTGACAATGCATGGCTGTAAGAAGTACGCAAACAATCACTTTGGCTGCTGCGTCATAGCTGCGGAGCCTCCTCAGAATGAGGAGGGACATGTATAGAAGCCACATGAGGCCTATCAGCATCAGCCACTTCCAAGTCAATACTGCAGGATCTGACCCTCCGCACTAAGCCTCAAAATCTGCCTGGAACCTGCAGCCGCCCATTTTGATTAGCACTTGTTTGGGAGAGGTGTCTCCAAGGCCTCTGCATTATGAGAACTTGAAACCCTTCATCAGCGCAACAGGCATGGCGGCATGCCCTGAGTGTTGGATCTGCTTTCGTCTCTGAGCTCTGTCATACTTTGTCATGATTTTGTCATGCTTTCAGATTGGGCAGAAGCCAAGGACATCACCGGAATAGAGCGAAGGACCTATCATCAATAATCCTTCTGGGAATCTGCCACGCAGACTAGCTGCAGCATGGAACATGAAAGTCGCGACTGCCCCACTAGCACAGCAGGTTGCACACTTCAGGCCTTGCAGGATTATTGCCAAGGCTGGTTCGGAGGTTGGGTATTTCTCAAGATTATTGTCCCTTGCTATGCCCTAGCCCTAGCAGCTCTAGCAGGAAACATGTTGGAAAAGTTGATCAGCCGTCCTAAATCACAATCTGCGAAGCGGTGATCCGGGTGGTGGAATCTTTGTCCAGGCTCCCTTAGTTCGTAAGTGAATTCTCAGACATGGGAACTTCTGCATGCACAATGGATGCCTGGCCCTTGCAGTGCTTGGGCCGAAGCGTCTCCCGAAGACCTTGGGCGGCAAGTCGTCCTGCACAGGTTTCTGTCAAAGATGCGGTGCCGTTCCAAAAAGCTCGCAAGGCTTCCAGCTCTCAGCTCGTTTCAACATGTTTTGGAGCGCACTTTCTTCGACACCGAGCACGCAGCCCGGGTGAACCAAGTACAAGAGGAGAGAGCGAAGTTAAGAGGAACTGTGCAGCTACAGGCTAGAGCTCAGAATGCACGATGGCTGGCTCAGCCGAGCATCTGTGTCCATGGGTCCGAGCACTTTCACAGTGGACCCCGGCGACGTCAAAGTCTCAGTGGCTGTTGTTTGGCATCAGGAGCTGCGAAATCTTCTTGACGGTGCGTGCCCATGTCTTCTCGGAGCAGATAAGCTCCTGCAAGAGCTCTTTCTGCATACTGGCATGTCTTGTCCTCAGTGAGCAGATGAAGTTCCCCATGTGCACTCTTGGCATGCCCTTGAAGCTAATCTCGTGACGCAAGACATGCTCGAGGAACCCAAAGTCAGCGAGGCCGCCATTCCCGAGGTAGGCGCAGCCGCTGAGAATGATCTCGTTGAGAACAAGGTTCTCCAGCTTGCGGAACTTGCGGCTGCCATCATCTTTTCTCCAAATGCCGCTGGCCTGGGCCTCGTTCTGCAGAACAGCCCATGCTCCCACTGCGTGCTGCACCGCCAAGAGACTTGCACGCATGCTCAAGTTGATCTCCTGCTGGACAGGGTCCAGGAAGTCTGGATACGAAAGGTTACGGCCCAACCGCTCCAGGGAGCGATGCAAGCTGGCTATGTCAGAGGACGCCCCATTCCTGCCATCATTCAGCTGATCGGCAGAGTAGATGATCGTCTTTGTCTTGCACATGGCCTGTTGGACGATTTCAGGCAACTGCATCAAGGACTGGTACTCACTGTCCATCTGCAGGCCGGCTTCGTTGAAGTGGTTGATCTGAGAGAGTACAAGCTGTACATCGGAGTCATCAGAGTTGTGCCACAGATGTCGGGCAAACGCTTCCCAAGAGTCATACCGACCCATCATCTGCACCAGCATGTCGGAGTGTATCTTGACGTACGAGTGGCGAAGCTGGCTGATGCGGGTTGTATTGCCCTTCACAATGTCAGAGAGGTACTCGATGCTGAGCATCATATCCAACACGTCACGGAAGCGACCCATAGTTTGCCAAACAACTCTGTCACGGGTGAGTAGCTTGGCCTCTTTGAAGGCAACTTTGAGATCGTCCGCACCAGGCAGGTCCACCAGCCCGGTTATGGACATCATGTTTGAGTTCAACAACTCCAGCTGATCCCACGCATCATGCGCATGCCGGACGGCATCATGCGACGCCTCTATGCTATCAGTCAAGCTTTTTCGGACAGCGTCAAGGCACGGCTTGTTGCTACAACAAGCTGAGGCTCGCTCAAGGGCTAGGTCCAGCGCGGGCGCAACATTCATGATCAGGGGGAACGAAATTATGTTTCCACCCTCTTGGCTTCTGAAGTGCTGCAGAAGGTTCAAGAACTGAGGCATTCCGATCTGTCAGCACACACTCACACACCCGAAACATGCCGAAACTGTCCCCAAGCGTCCTTGGGTAGGAGTGGCCCAAGGGCCTTGAATGGTATGGAGATGTATGGAGTGTACTCCGCTGAACACGCACCAGCCAAGACCTCACCATTGCAGCCATGACACCTCTGCAACGTGTTGGTCCAGATCGGGTTCTGCCTCGGCCTGAGGCTCGCAACTAGTTGAAAGTTCGTGGTCTCTTTGAGCTTGGGCGTCACAGCGTCACCAAGTTCTGGCCTGGCCGTCAGGACCAAGGTCTTCGACATCCCGGCGTTCACTGAACTATTTGCACGGCGCAGTTCTGCGAAGCCTCTGGCCTCAAACTCGAAAGGGCCGTGGGCCGAGTGCTGCTCAATGACGCAGAAGAAGCCTTGATGAATAACCAACGACAAAGACCACGACGACCAACACCACGACGGCCGTGAGAACCATGACCTCACAACCATGACGATCACGACCACGATGACGGAAACGACGACGGTCACCATGACGATGATCGTGTGAGTAGCATACATGTAAGAGTACGGCTGATCGTCGTGGCAGTCATACTCACAACATAAGACCATTGCTGCTCTCATCACTACTACCACCATTTCATCAGTGTCATCATCATCATCATCATCATCATCATCATGTTCTTCTTATTCTTCTGTTTATTCTTCATCTTCTTATTTCTGGCATTGTGTTTTTCTTCGGCTTCCTGTTAACTTTATTGTTCATCATCCGTTGCAGCCATCATGCCTCACGACCTTTGACCACTCCCCTGCTTTCATCGAAGCATCGGCACAACCAACCCCCAGCAACTCGACCAATAGCAGCTCAGAGGGACTGGGGGCACCGCTTGACATCTTCTTGCTGAAGTTCTAGCTGCTGCCATGCTGCGTTGTTCAGTCGATCCGTGCACAGGGATACAGCCACGCTCTCCGCAGCAAATCCACGTCTCCATCTTGCCAGCAATGACTCCCATGGACACAGGTAAAGAGTTGGCAACCCTAAAACATTTGAAGCTTTGGGCTGCTATGGCTAGATTCCTCAAACCTCAAATACCTCGCGCATTTCAACAACGACTGGAGGTTCATGACGTTGAAATTTGCCTCCATAGCTTGAGCGCAAAAGCGATCCTGCAAAGCTTCAGGTCAAGCGTCCAAGTCTGCAGCCGCAAAACTTTCGCAACAGTTCTTGCGTGGATACGGCGGGAGCCTAATTCTGAGAAGTTCTACTTTTCCATGCTGAACGAAACAGTCTGCAGTCAGCCGCCATTTTCAGGAGCCAGACCTGACTCAACTTGCAAGATCCAGCCGGAATCCATCATGGCAATTCTGTTACTGAGGGTCATGCGCAGCTGGATACTGGTGAGACTGGGCACCTGCAGTTGGCTCGGGCCAGCAGGGAGAAGCCATGCACTGAGGGTTTAAGTCGTCGTACAGAAACCGCATTGCATGAGACCTTGCACGAGTGCCTTCATGATCTTCTACTGAAAGCTGGTTTCTTGCGTCTCAAGGACGTGCCAGGCATTTGGGCCGTGGCTTCTACCCCCAAAATGAAACAGTCTCTCAGAGAACCTTCAACAACATTGGAAATGAAGCGCCAAGCCTCAGAAGGTTTTTCTGGCAACGAGCCCACGCACGTCGGACTTCCCTTCTTCGTACTCCTTCACCAAGCATTCGCTTCTGACAGTCATGAGTTCTTTCTGGGATTCTGAGGTCCGTCTACTTGCAGATTTAAGGCCACTTTGTCATGGCATGTGTGGACAAATAGGGAGAAGCAAACAGAGAACTTGTCCTGCTTGGTGATGGCCACCTGGTCGAAGGTGGACAAGGAGGCGAACATGGAGCCGCCAATCCATGCGGCAAAGCGGCGCTGAGAGTCACTCACCACCTCCACCTGGATATGTGTTTTGCATCAGCTAGGGTAATCCATATGGCTGTAGGGATGCTTTTTGCTGCATGCCTCCCACGCCATCCACTTCAACTGTTGGGGGTGATGTGGGTGGAAATATGTTCAGCTAGCGCCAATACTTCCCACATAAGTAAATGGACATGCATTCCTTTTCCTTTTTAGGGACTACATTGGTGACTATGCTAAACTACCAGAGGGACCCCTATGTCACAAAAGGCGACTGTTACGAGTCTGTTAATGAGGCCAATGTTGACTGCAGCCCATGTGGAGGATGTGCACAGGTCCAACATTCACGAGGTAGGCCAATTGCTCCTTTGCCTTGGGCATTGCTACTGTGGCTGTGCTGAACACTTGTACCTTGCATTACAGCTCACTGTACGTGAGAAACCGTGTTGAGCAGGGAGAGCATCAAGAACTGAGAAGAGCTCTCCGCCACTCTACCAGGAAAAAATCTTTGCAAGAACCGTCATGGGCCATTGGCCTACGCAACCGCGATACAAGCAATTTCAACTTCTGGACGCTTTGTTGACCTGGTAAGGCTTCTACATGCGAACTCTCTCCTTTGGGCTCCCACCGTCTTGGAAAGCTCCGATGACAGCGTGCTCTTGAGCTCCGATCTGATGCAGGCTGGGCGTTCGCAGATATGGATCCGGCGCACGGTCTTCGAGAGTGTCAAATGGGTCTTTGCTGCACTCAATGTGCCCTGGATTGTATTGCAGCTGATGCCACTGAATAAAATTGCTATACAATAAGAGTGCCGTTCACATTCACTGCGAGAGCAGCTTGGCCTCAGCCTCGGCGCCAAGTTCAACAACATCGAAGTGCCGCCTCAGCTCAACGACAAGAACCCTAGCCATGAGGATAGGAAGCTGCGTCCTTTGCATCCTTGAAGCACCAAAAAAACCCAACACCATCTGCTGGGGACCTCGCCTGCCACCACAACGCTCTTCACTAAGTCCTGCGCCGCTTTGAAAGACCCTAAGCTTGCCATCTTCTTTTTCGACATTGCCCTTCATCAAAGGCAGCCCCCAATGAGAGCTGCAAATCCTTGAGCCATACTCTAAGCTCGGTGACTTAAAAAGCCCCAACAACAACAACAACACCAACAACAACACAGGACCAATGCTCTGACCAAAGCTCATAATCGGCACCATTTCAACTTTGTTGCAGATGTACGACAACAGTCATGCTGCTTGAGATTCTGCTGCTTGGCCCTTCCTAAAGTCCTAAAAAACGACACCCTCGTGGTCGTCACCACCACAACAACACAACTACAGCAACTCTTACCACAACCTGCACTACTGAGCACTACTGACGCCTACATCCTTGTTTCAACTGACAACGACAACAACAGTCTCCGGACACAAGGCCCCGCCCGACCTCCCCTTCCCAGCCTGCCGGAAGTCAAGGTCCACCGTGTTGATGGCATCAAGGCAAATTTTTGGCATGGAGGCCCTTGGCCCAAGAAGCTCTCAAAGCTTGCCCTAGCTCAGATATATACGGAGGTAATATCCTCTTTGCTTGTTCAGATTGGCATATGAAATTCGAACGAATCAAAATTGGGTGATTGGCTCGCCCTCGCCGCCAAACAGGATCTCAGTGGCTCCCGTCCGTATCTTCTCCTTGACCTTCATGGAAGCTGACAGAGCAAGCTTGACACGTCTACATGGCTCCTACGAGCTGTCAAGAAGGCGCACCTGGATGATTTGCCCATCCGGCAGCTCAAAGGACCTAGCCTCCTCGTCGCCGCTGTCCAGCCTTTGGTGCATTCGTCATTCAGAAGTTATACATCCCTCGCAGCTTTCAAAGGGATGCCTTTGCCTCTGGGAGGTTGGCCAGCACAGGGTGTTGAAGCACGAAGTCAAACTCAGGGCATGACGCGTCGGCTGGTATGCCGCCGCTTCCAGAAGGCGCCACAAAGCAAACCTGGCCACACGACTTAGGTAAGCAGAGAAGCTTACGGAAAACAATCTGCATCCAGTGCCTTCTCCTTCATGGCTTGCATTGTTCGATGGCTCTGCTTTGTCCCCAGCTCTTCGGCCTGTCCAGCAGAGCGGAACCCTGCGTTCCTAGAACCACTCAAGCTCAAGCCATTTGACTTGAGCGGGGCTGAACATTGAACTCAAACAGGCACAGTCAGAAGCGACGTACGTGTTACAACCGCTACTCAGCTTTGCACGAGCTGCTTCTTCCGAACACACGCATTCTCAGAAAGGGGCCATCATGCTTTGCAGGCGCTGCGTGATGTCATGCCCCGCGACCTAACAGGACCCGGGTTGGCTTGACATGCTAGGGTTTAGGATTTAGTTACTGTCTTGCTTCCACTTCTGCCGCAAATATCACTCTTATTACGGTGATGAACAGGAGTGCAATCGTAGTCTAGATCTGCCTGTGGCTGCAGGGGGCCTTCATTTTAAAGATCGCGTGCGGTATCGCGTAGCCCTCGAAGACGGGAACAGCCTGAAACCGCGCACGTTCTTTTTCCAATCCCTGCAACAGAAGTGCACATGCCTGCGTGATCCCCTCGCCACTTTCTACTACCAATCCTCTGGTGCCTTAGTTTCTTGCGAACACCATCAAGTCAGTGTGCAACATCTTCTTCCTTGCTGGGAAGCACACGGCCTGTTGAGAACAAGCTGAGGGCCTACAGTAGCCATGGCTGCCACAGGCTGCTTTTCAGCTCGAGTCAGAACACCGTTGAGCAGCAGACAGCTGTGTTGAAGATCGCCAAGGACTTTACCTTGATCTTCTCAAACATGACCTTTCAGGAATAAACGAAGCCGCCTCCAAGCTTGACGACTCCGGCCTCTGCTATCCACTGGCGTGTGGCATAGGAACCTGGCAGCCGCCAGAGCGAAAGGCATTTCAGGAAAGGGAGGAAGCTGGGCTTTGTCCAAGACGCTCTGGCCCAGAGGCATTGTGTCCGCGATGAGGCAAGGCAGGTCCTCAACTTCACCAAGCTTCCCAAGCTGTCTACCAAAATCTCCAGGGTCCTCCTGCTCAACGCCCAAGACATTTCGGAACACATGCTCGAGAAGGTTCTCCATGGCTTCCTGGACTCCATCATTTGCTTGAGCGGCAATTCTCACAACTTTGGCTGCTCTGTACTTCCACAAGAAAACTTGCCCGGTATCGAACACTCAGAAGCAGGAACCCAGAATTCTCGGAAAGGAGTGGTGTCTCTCCTTCTCTGGCTGTGTGAGTTGTATCTCACCACGCTGCACTGGCCGAGTGATCTGCGCGTTTTCCTGCTCGGAACAACAACAGAAGGCTACTCGAGTATTGAATAAGTTTCCAAATTCATGTCAAAAAAATTTCTTTGGCTCCCTCCCCTTTCCGACCCACATCGCCTGCAGGATGGCTTCCTCGCCGTAGAAGACTTGACCTCACAGCTTCCGAATCCACAACCTCCTCTCTCCGTAAGAACTGCCAGGCGGCTCTTCTTCTGCGCAGCGGAATCACCCGTGACCTGGGTTGCCAAACATGGCAGCTAGCTGGAAATCTTCTGCATTGAAGCTGGGCCCGCAGCAGCAGCCTCGTCTTCCCTAGATTCATCGGCCTGGCAACGGAAGCCCTGCAGCGGGTTTCTGGAATCCATAGGCACTGAGACTGCGGGCCATGGCGGTGGCCATTGCAGTCGGAAGCACTGCCCGTGGGGCATCTTCCCCCGAGAAGCCAACCTTAACTCTCAGCTTCACACGGAGCTTTGATGGAGCTTTGCACGGTTTTCGCTTGGAGATGGCCTTCAGGAAGCCGGACCCTGTGTCTAGCACAACGACGTCCTGCCAAGCACCACCACATTTCTGAACCCCAGGTGAAGTTCTGCTTCGCATGTAACAACGCACCTGCTCATCCATGGTGCACTCCAACTCCATTCCTAAGTTCAACTTAAGGTACAAGCAGAATGTGCTTGGAGGCGCTTTGCATCCAAGCCTCTGCCACCCTCCATTTCGACCTGGATGCCCTCCGCACCTTGCATCATCCATCACTCTGAGTAGTTACGCCAAATAAGGCGCCCCTCACTTCCATCACAATAATATACTACGACACTCATTATTGGAGGGGTCTCAGAAAAAGGATCCTTGCCTTTTGGAAACCTTGAGTAGCCCAAATCCCCCAAAATCTCGCATGGTCCCAGAAGCCTGCGGAGGGCCTAGCCAAGCCGGGGAGCCGCTTGGGCCAAAGCTGCCGGCAAATCTGTAACAGGGATTCCAACATTTTGCGGCTGTTTAAGGGGACCCCTACTTGGGGATATTTTGATTGGTCTCTAGATAGACACCTTTGCATGGAGTGAAACTCTACAACGCTGAAAATACATCTGCGCATACGTATCCATAACGTTTATATAAAAGGGTTTAGTGTGGCAGCGGCAATAATAGGGATAGTTATAGAACACTACGGAGCACTTTTGGAATTGACTCAAAGAGCCTGCGGCATTCGCAGTCAATACTGCACAAATTGATCTAAGTTGCTTACACTGACATCAGGGAAACATTCACACTCAACCTGGTCTTGAGTCAGCTTAGACTCTAAATCTACAAAGCTACGTGATAAACAACTGTGTCTTCGACGTTCTGCTAATGTCGTACAGCAGCACGACAATTAACAAGGTATGCCAAGCAACCTTGCAAGCGGAGACGTACGCGCTCCAAAATGTCCAGGAAGCAGGCGACAACATACGGCTGCACTTGCCGAGATGTACGGACACCTAGTGCCGGGTCCGGATTGGTACGACTCTGCCAAGAGGCATGTTCTTCATATCATGCTATCCGATTGCCGAAGTTTAGAGGACCATCTAAATGTAGAGGTCCCTGCCAAAGTGCAAGGCAAGCGTCTGCAGATAGAGTTTGAAGCTTTTCAGCAAGCAATCTTCTTCGATGATGGATCGAGGACTGTCGCTGCCTATCCAGATTGAAGTGATCGCGTGGTGCGACACTGTTGTTCAAGCCGCAGACTTGCCTCACTAAGGCTATGAAGCGGACTTCTAAGTTGCAAGCACTTTGTGTGTGTGACCTAAAAAAACACCTATGACCATATGATGGCATACATTGCTGCATGGTTCGTGCACATTTGTATATCGTGGGCTGGAATACGAAAGCCCAAGTCGCACTGGCTGTATGCTTGAAGAAGAAAGCTAAGTCCGTCTTAGGGGTTCTGGTAGGAGGTAGGGCTAAAGCTTTCCATCGATAGGCCAGAGGAAGCCGGCGTTGCGCTCGGCTAGCCTCTTTCCATACTGAAGTCAACCTTCCCACGCTGGGCGAAGGTGGGTGTCACCCTTACCGTCGAGATGAGGGAGGGGTCTGGCTGAGTGTTGCCCTCAGGCTTTGGCAAGTCCTGAGCAGTGGCGTTTGCTGCAGCGAGATCGTCCGCAAGCTGGGCAACAGGAAACTGGGCAACAGGGTCGTTGTCATCTACACTCTCGACGGCAGCTTGTTCGTCGGGATTAGTGTTGGCCGCATCGGCGCACCCGGAGGTGGTGTCAGGATGTTGGGCCTCACTTGCCATGGCTTTGGATGCTACCAATGCACTACGACGAGCAACATGTAAAAGTTTGATCTCCCTAAAGCATAGTCTCTGTTGCCTATGAGCATACTAGAAAGGTTCAGGAGGAGTAGGCCAGCGCCCTTGCATCCGCCTAGCTCTAAAGACTTGCCCTGAATGATACAGTTGCCATGTATTTAAAAAGCCGCAACATGGACTGCGCGAAGAGAGAAGGAAATCAGCAACGGGTCGCGCCGTCAACCTCGCGCGACTCCATGACCCCTGCTAAGGTATCACGACCCTCATCGAAAGACAGGCGAAAGGCAAGCTTACGTCTCTCTAGGGGGACAGTAATGGAGCCCAAACCTGTGAAGAATTTGGGTTCACCATCAATGCATGGAAAACCTAACCCAAAGGGACTTAAGTTTCCCTTCAACAAGGCCACCCCTAGAGCACCGCTCGGCCGGTGACCAAAGATCTACCATCTTGAGGTTTCCTATGAATACCTTATCACCCTTAGCTTCACTACCAATCATAGCAACCCTTCGAACAGCGTAAAGGTTAGCACCTCGGGGACTGTCAGGGGCTGAAGGTAGTGACCGCGCAGTACCCCTATCGGATGTCCTGGTACGGGAATGAATCTCTTCAACCTCGTCGACATCGTGATCAAGAGTTGGAGCTTCCTTGGCAAGGCAAGTGAGGGGTAAACCTTGGGGATTAGGCGTAGGCACTGTAAGTGTCCTTGGCAAACATATCCTCCGCCCTAGTCACATAGGGCCTGAGTCCGGAAGCTCATTGGAGGCTGTAGAAGGAAAGCTCGTTTCAATTAAATCAGGCCTTCTTGCGGGGGAGCATTCAAGGTATGGCTCCATAGGATCATAATCATCTATACCCCACAAACCCAACCATTGATCACACAACCTTGCTAGCTCCTCATCCGACATGTTTGCTGGACTCAGCGGTCCCTGGCTGGATGGGGCGGGCTGAGGCTGCACCAGTTCCATCATGGCAACAGGCGCTGGGCTACCTGCATTTACCTGGGACAAGGAGATTCTTGGTTTTCAGTAATCTCCATCCCTAAGAATCTCACGCTGGGGGATGATACTTTGCTCGGTCGCCATCATGGTCGACAGGCGATCTGCAAACAGACCAACGATGCCCTCAACAAGAGTGGCATCCAGGCACGCGGCAGCATCATCACGGGTTAGGGCCTGAACGGTCCCTAAAGCCGTTGCAAGACTTGATTTCCAGCCTTGCGGCGTTCCCTTGTGGAAATTGCTGTTCACGTTTTGCTTTTTTGTGGCCACAGTCCCTGCATCTCTTTTGAGCGTAGTTCATGGACGATCCTGCATAGGAGAAATCCCTGCGCTCGCGGCACTTCTGCTCGAGAGGCGGATCAGGTGGTACCTTAAGACCCCGCGTCGGGTTAGATCGGGGTTGGTACACGCCCTCCGGAATTCCTACAGAGGCGCGGACGTCAACAGCTCCACGGGTTATTGCATAATACCGGTCAAAGCACGTTAAAAATCTTTCAACTGCTTGGAAGGTGCATTCTGCTGGGGTTGCGCCCTCCGGATTTCCTAGAGAGGCGCGGGCATCTACGGCTCCACCGGTTGCTACATAACACCGGTCAAACCACGTTAAAAGTCTTGCAACTCCGGGGAAGGTGCAATCTGCTGTTTAGCCCAAGCTATCTGGCTAATATTTTGAGCAAGCTCACGAGACGTCTTGCCCTTGTGCTATTTGCGCCGATTTCGGTCGCGCTGCTTCTTGTGCTCCCATCGCCGGCCCAATGTCCGGCATTGCCGCAGAGGCATTTGCTCTTCGCCGGGGTAGGTGTGATCTTACTACCCCGCCTTTGCCTTTGCCCTTTCTTTTGCGTGGCATGACTCACGTCTGTGGTGTCATGGCGGTATCATCAAGTTCCTTGATGGAGTTGACATCGATGGCCTCCTCGTATTCCTGCCCCTCTGCAGGTAGCAGTTCAGGCTCATCCTCGTCATCGTAGGACGCCACGGGATAAGCTTCCCATGGATAGCTGTCCCAGGATTCTTCTTGCCACAACCAAGAATCTTCATCCTCTTCGTCGCCTTCCTTGACCGCTGCATAAGCTCGTCGGGAAGAGCCCTTACTACCCTTGCCGGTGTAGCGGAGGCCAGGTCCAGGGACTTGCCCGCTTGGAGGTGACCGGAAAAATTATCCACAAGGAGTCTTCGGCGCACGCCCCCACAACCGGGGTTTTCTGGCGGGTAAGCCGCGACAGCTCAAGCAATAGCTCCACACGCATCGGCTCTGATAGCTGGATGGTCTTGTCACGGGTGCGTAGGAGCTTTCACCAGCGCCGTCGTCGTGATGAAACGTACGACAGCATAGACTCTCCGCACTGCCTAGAGAGTACACCTTGCATTTGGCGGGCTTGGAATAATTCTCGAGCTTCTTCGGTGGCGCCGCGGGGGAAGACTACCTCCCGCATCTTTTGCAGACTTTTGCACGAAGGCACGGAGTCCTCCTGGAGAAGTCGGAGACTCGACACCGATGTCTCTGGCGAGTTCGAAGGCTTCATCACGAAGTCCTTCCAATATGCGATGGACCATCTCTGTCCATGCCTTCACGCAAAGGATGTAACTTCATCCATGTCTCCGCTCTTGGATGACATGGACAAGAATCGTCGAATCTTCGTTCCCCTACGACCCTTCAGCTTAGATCTGGTCAAGCCCTTCCCCTTGCCGGTGACAGCGATTGCCTTCTCTGCTCCGCTCCACAGGCTCAGTATGAGGTTCATCATCGGCCGGGCGGTCCGATGATCCAGCTTTATCGGCGCGCGGGCCTGCCGATTCGGACGGTTCTGGCTTACACTTGCTGCAGATGGCATCTTTGTAAAATTTCAGGCTCATCAGCGTCCTGAGTTCCCAATCGTGGCATGAGGCGGGGTATATAACGACCCTGATCTGGTCTCCAAAGGAGCACTAGTTCCGGCCCTTGGCAGGCACCATAAACCTGCAACACTCACGGCTCTAAAGGAGCGAATTTGCAGTGGTCTAGGGGGTGAGTTGATGGGTTGACTGGGGCATGCCCGGCCCTGAGAACACACGAAAGTACCTACCCTACCGGACACAGGTGCTCTCACCTGCACCACTATCGGGAAGAAGAGGGACAGTTACAAAACACTACGGAGCACTCGTGGACTTGACTCCAGGCGCCTGCAGCATTCACAGTCAATACTTTACAAACTGATCTAGGTTACTTACACTGACATCAGGGAGACATTCACACGCGGATTCTGTCACAGGCTTTCTGAAGGGGTCCAACGCACTTTGGCCAACGGAAAATTTTAGGAGCAGACGCACAGGGGAAGACATGGAGGGGACAAATCTTTATGAACTTGCAAAGCAGC